TTTTAGTTTACCTTTCCATTCTTGGTAGGCGGCCTCGTTATCAATGGGAAGAATCAAGATTCTAGTGATGTTTGCATTGATTGGAGGTAGTTTTGGAACACTCGACTCGTGGGTGGGCTGCATCATCTCACTCTTTTGAGTAACATCTGGTGTAGAGTTATGTGGTTGTCCACAATCAAATGGAATAGAACCATTGGCGTTGTCACCATGGCCCTCATTCGGTGTCACACAAAACATGGCATCCAAGAGGGACGGAGTGTAAACTTCCTCTTCCACATCTTCGGTGTTCACCTTCTCTATCTGTTTGTATGCTGCTTCCTCCTCATCTGAGATGATGCCTATTTTATTTTTTCTCATACAGCTATGAAATAAACCCATTTTTGCTGTGCACTGCCTGACGACCAAACTGCGCTATCCACAATAATCAAGATTATTATGACGCCATAGGCATTATGACGTCAAATGTTTGTGACGTTGGTATAATATGAAGAGATTTTTTACGTCAAGTGCAGGCACGTGATATCTTTTCGATCTTTATCAAATTATGTATAGCCTATACATGTAGCAGGTAGACTAGCTAGTATCTCTTATTTTTTATGATCGTAACATGTATACCATCGACCTGTACGTGTACATGCATATAGTACTAACTGTGCTTCTTGTCTAGAAAGAAATTTAAAAAGAAATTTCAAGTCACCCCCCCCCCAAAAAAAAAATTAAGAATAAAATATTATGATTCATCATGCATGGCAATAAATTATATGGAAATTGAATTGACATGGCGTGTCAAACTTCCATTGCTTTTTTTTTTCAAATTGTAAACATTTTTAAACAATCGAACGAGTTTTAGAATTTCAAAATAATTAATATGCTTTAAGAAATAATACAATCATGTATTATGTGCAACCTCTTTAGGCCGATTTATAATATTCAAGGTTTTTCAGCTGATTTTGGTAGAGTTTTATGACTTGCATATTGCTAGAGCGTTTCAGACTGATTATACTAAATAAATATAAAACTTTATTTATAAATCTGAAAATAAAAAAGTTTTTGGAGTTTGTAAAAATTGGTCAGTGATGTGAGCAAATCAGCAAATCGATCAGATGCACCACTTTGAAAACAGTGTTCCGGACCCCCCCCCCCCCCCCCCGATCGCGTGATCGAAGTGGATAACGAAAGAATTACCTAATTTTAACTCACATTTTCTCTGTCCTATTCTCTGTTCACCAGTCACAAGAACTAATGTAAGAACTGTGTAGCTTTTCCTGTGTCATTGAAATCATGGAGATATTACAGGATCCAGTGATGCAGCAATTCATAAAGGTAAGTTGAGATAAGTTGAATCATATCTAGGATACATAAAAGTCGTTGTTGATTACATGAGGTGTTTTCGCTCGAATTTCCTCGATATCAATTTGACCAATGATTCCTTTGAAATTTATAATTTAAAAACATTTTCGTATATTTTAAGGGAGAACAACAAAGACAAAAATTTCAAGCGACTGTCCAGCAGTTAACTGAGGAATGTTTTGACTATTGTGTCACATCTCCAGGAAATAAACTTGGTTCTTCTGCTGAACAGTGCATCAAAAACTGTGTTGACAGATTCATCGACACCACAAACTTTGTGGCTAATCGTGTACAAAGATCTGCCATGTCATCTACTACCTCATCAGGCTTTGATTAAATTCTCATAGACTCATACATGTTTGTCGTATTTTTATATTTTGTTAAGTTGTTAACTGAAGGTAACAGTGAACTCTGTTGATTTATTAATATACAATGCAAAGTTTTAACCATGATTTCAGACATTATGCATCTTTATGCTACACCGCAGGCCCAAATCGCCATTATCGGTTGAGTAAAATATTCCACTCAATGTCCCGTGGTCAAATTTCTCCATCATCACGGACCATGCTTAAACTCTGTGGTTCTGCTGCTATTTTTGTTGTGGATTTTTTTTACTAGTTATATTAAAATGTTAATTATAATTTTTACAGCCAGTTTAAATTAGGTATGCTTTTACATGCATATTGGAACAGCTATATCTATGAGATGAAGGTCTCTTGACTTTATTTAACTGAACAACAGCAATAAAATTGATATACAATTTCCCTTTCTTGGTATAGTCTTCCCTTATAAGGGAAAGTTGTGGGTTATTTGGATGGACGGACCTTAAAAACAGAGGCCCCATGTCACAGTTAAGGTATTGACAAGATAAAGAGCTCTCGATGCTCTAAGGTGCTCAGTGGCCCTGAGTGCTGAGTAAAGGTCTAAATTTGAAACCCTTCACCAGTATATGGTGATGTCTCTATATGTGTGAAGCATTCTTGAAAGGGACGTAAAACAAGATGTACTGTATACTGGTTTATTTTCACCCTTTTACATTTGCTAACAGTTTTATGATTTAAATATGCCCTTTCACAGTTCTGTTTATAAAGAAATTATACAGTGTACTTTGATTCCGTTCTGTTTTAAAATTGCCCAAATGTGACGAGGGCAAAAATAAAAGGGGGGGAAATTTCCTTGTATACAGTAAATCAATCAAATAATCAATCATTTCACTCGTAAGTTCTTAAAAAAGTCAAAAATTGCCTGAAGGTTTGTAAATTTTAATCACAACTTCATTTTAAATATGAATGCATGTATTTTACAGAGGCAGGTATATAATATAATATATACTGCATACAAATAAATAATGGAGAAAAACTTAAATAAACCACTTTTATAAAAAAAGAAAAACCCAGTACAGTGGTCTTTATAGATACATGTACATGTAAAATCAGTGTCAGTTACAACAAAATAAGCATCTATTAACATGATTAAATAAATAAACATGGAGTGTTCATTAACACAGTATTTACATATATAGGGCTTCTAGTATTCTTTTGTTAATGATGTATATCACACACTGTTTCTAAATGGGATGGAAGATGCATTGCAAGATATGGATTTCAATATTACAGTGTGTATTAAAGAAAATGTTAGGATAATACAATGCGAACAGAGGAATATTGCAAAGATAGGTATGAAATTGAAAACCAAAAATTCAAGTGAAACAAAAAATAATGCTGCCAAACAAAGTCCTTATAGATGAATTTATTTACATGTATATTTTTTTTACTACGGGTAGGGGAAGGACACTATATGTGCTGAGAGAATATGTGTTAGAAATCTACTCTAAAGGATGTTTTCCTACAATCTGACTAGTGTGATAAAATTTTAATAGATAAAATTCACATTTACCTTTTTACACCATTATTTTCTTATGCCTTTGTAAAGTTGTTGCAGATAACAAACCTTTAACACTCCACCCTCTTTAATAATTTTTCAACCTTAGAGATTTAAGCTTTGTTGTGAAAATGTGCTTGCATGAGCTCAGAAAGATCATGTTTAAGTTCCTCCCAAAGGACCATAACCTGAAAACAGACTAGTACTCAATGTCAGAATTTTGAATTTTACATAACAATGTTTTCGAAAATTTTCAAATTTCTTCTTATTAAAATTGTGAAATGCAGGTTTCTCTGTTTCATAATGTTTTACTTATACTGCTGATACATTTTTAGCCTTTTGTTGCCAAAAGTTCAGGTATTTTTCAATTAAACATGAATGAAAAAATAAAGCACAAATAGCCCATATTTAGCAGTTTGTGTATCAGTGATCAGTGAAAGACAAATAGTACTTGAAAACAAGGTCACCTTGTTTTCAATCCACAACCCCTAAGGTCATACTTTGAAAGCATTCAATTTGTAGATGACAGAAATATACATGTGTACATATTTAGATCTTTGATGATAACATATATACAACTAATGCATTCAAGCTATAAATGCAAATGCATCAATCTATAAGAGTATTTCATGAAATGACTAACAACTCATAGTTAAATTTTCAGTGAGTTTTAAATTCTGTAGAGCCCTTGTGAATAAAACAATTTTAACAATAGTTATAGCTCAATGTTTATAATTAAAATAACTTTGCATAGCTGTGTACAGGTTCATCAGGTACAATGTATATAAATGTATAATTAAAGACCCTATGGACTTAAATTGATTAAAATTTAAAATTAATTATCCATACATAAAAGCAAGATGCATACAATGAAGATATTTGCAACTGTTCTAATTTCCATCCTTTAACACACAATTTAAAACAACAAATACATGTACATCTGAAGTGTATTGAGACGATATAACAAATATTGTCAACAGTGAACCAGAGTAACCATAAAAACATGGTTTCATGACATCAAATATCACCCAAATCTGGAATGTATGTACCTTTGTTGACGTTGGAGTACAGTAACTACCACAAAATAATTCACCTGCTCCTTAAACCAAATCAAAGCAAACAGAACAAAAAAAATTTAAGCTTCTTATTTAAGTTCAACCTTGTATGTACATAACCCACTTTTATGAAATGGACGAAGAAAAGCTTGAGTATACACAGCAATGATAAAACCTGGGACTTTTTTATCAAATATTTGTGTCAGGAATAGGGTGAGCAAGGGAAGTAACTCTCTATCTCACATTCATAATTCTCATTTACATGTATTAATATGCTCACATGGTTTAGTTCTCACAATGGTACACATGACTAGATAGGTTAAAGATGTCACTGCTCTAACCAGGAAGGGCCGTCAGTGTTGGCAGATTTCAGTTTGATGTTGAACTGCTTGAGTGTGGATTCCAGGGCAGTGGCGTTCCCAGAGAAGTAGGCGGACGTGGCATTGTGGAACAGCAGAAGTTGTTTGTGCATGACTTTGACCTGCAAAATAATTTACACAGTAAACATTGACAGAACTACTAATACATTTAAAAATTTTGTTTACTAAATACATGTATGTTGCATTTCTCGCAGCTAACCAATCTGATTAAAATTAGATCCTTTGACTTGCTCACATAAATCGCTACACAAGAATCTGAGGAAACCCCATGTGAGCAGATCAAAGGATATGATTTTTAACCAGATTGGTAGCTAACTTGATAGCTTTTCAAATGAAAGAAGAAAAATTATAGATTTTGATTTCTCTATGTACATGTGCATGTTTTCTTGTTCTTTAATTACTGTTTCATGATCAAAACTATCAATTATCAATTTATATGTATCTATAAAGTTACCCTGTTTTCATCTAGAAATTTCAACTTGATGGCCACATCTCCTCTAAGCTTTTCAAACTTTTCTTTGTGATCTTCAAACTTTTTCTTGGCCTCTTCTATTTTTTGGGCAGGAGTAGAATCTCTGGGACCTAACTGAAGAGCCTCAACATCATTTCTGTATGCATCATACTCCAACCTGAAACACAGTAAACATATTAGGAAGATGGATTATGGTCATATAAATACACAACCAAAACAAGTACGGTATATTTCACATATACATGTACAACTACATTTCATGGCTGACTCCAAGACATGAGGTCCTATGAACTTACTGAATATAGTAAAATGAGCTTATATTAAAAGTATGACAAATCAAAATTGTTCATACATGTACATGTATAAGACTGTCTTACATGTAAATGTACATTCATCATTATAACACTAAAGCCATCCTCAGATGAATTGAATGCACAACAAGTAACTCACCTGGCTGCCTCATAATTTTTTATTGTTAGGAGTGTGTCCTCCATTGTCTTATTGCAAAGAGTGTTGACTGAAGATGTGAAGAAATTCATTGCACCTGCAAAGAACAGAAAATAGAATAATGTTTTGCAAAACATTTATTTTGCAACAAGAAATACATGTTCTAAATTTTTTGGTCAACTAGATCAGACAAAGTGGTGAATTTAATACATCTTTTAATCTTCAATTTTGAATTAAAAATTATTTTAAGGAGATGAACTCAATTAAAAGTTTACATTACATGAAATCCAGAGTTACTCCTCTTGAATTCCAACAAAATTTGAATTAAATATCCATGGTTAACAAATCAACTGATGAAATTCAGAAAAGTAAACATAATACACTTTTTTTGAAGATCAAGGTTATATTACCCAGTAAAACTTCTCCATTTTTCACCAAATTCCTTTGAGTCTCACAGTTGTAGGAGAACTCTTCCTGAAGCTCAGGGTTCCTTTGAGATTGTTCTGCAAACGCCTCTCCCAGAGCCCTCTGTGTCTGCACAACCTGGTAAAAATGGTTAGTTAATGTCCTTGCCAATCGTAAAATGTTGGAATACTTCCTTTGCATATCTCTCAGGGTTTCGATTTGATTTTCTAATTCCAAGTCCACAGTTTTGGAGCCTTTGCCAAATTTTTCTGAGATGAATTGTTTGGTACATTTGAAGGTGTTTACACTCCAGTGTTTGATGGTTTCTAGTTTTGTTTGGGCAGCATGCACAGTCTTGGGAAGAAAGTCACCACCATTGTTCTGTCTAGCCCCTTGTGACGATAGTGGGATATTGCTTGTTGCTGGAAAAAAAATCTTGAGAAAATAAGTTATTTGTGTTATGTCGATAGGAGCTTAAATATGCTCATATGTACATATGTCAATTTCAATATTTCTTTTCATTCAAAAATTAATAATTTTGAAAAGTGTAGAATGAGAAATAGTACTGTGCATCAAGTTCTAAGAGAGCTAGAAAAATATATATGATATCAGATGCAAGGGGAATTGCAATTTGGTCATACAATAAAGTTCATCAATCAGTGTAAAATAGTGTGTTACAAAAATAACTAAAATTTTCATTCCAATAAAGAATCTTCTTTGAGCTTGACCTCTGATAAAGTGATGTCAAATATTAAGTGTGTCATCATGTAAATTCAAGACCAGTGTAAAATATGTCATCTCAAGTGTACACATAGAAAAATAGAAATGGTGACCGATAGGTGCCAACATGGTGATCACTACACTACAGGGGTGAATAAAAGAGACTGTAAATGTTTATTAATTAGAAGTAAAGCAAGGAATATTCTAAGATTAAGTTTCACTAAATCCCTATTAACACCACGTCAAAATATAGGAACCCATTTGCCATTACCACTTCAAAAATTTTCAGAAGATCATAGAAAATTTTTAATACATAAGAGATTAGATATTAAAACACTTTGCCACGCACACTGTAAGAAAAAAAATATATATACCAGTATATAGCTGAATATTCAAATTAGCAATGTTAATTAAAAGCATGAAAACACACACACACCAGGAGGCATAGTGAAAGAGCGAGGGAGACCAGACTGTGTTCCAAAGTTACCGGTGGAAGCTCCAGGGTAGGAGGAGGTCATGACCTTGTTGGGGGAGCCACTTTGTACAGTGTTATGTACGTCTGTCAGGTCTTGTCCATCATTCAGGATGTCCTTCAGATCCTGCTCAAAAGTGTCATTGGCCTTGGAATTCCCATTATACGCTGGACCGGAATCTGCCATCATCTTAAAAAAGCATATATATACAAAGTATTAAATTCTTAATCTTAATAGGAAATTTTAGATATACATTAGGATAATCAGAAAGAAGTGTTTCTTGAAAAAGTAATTTTGAAAAAAAATACAGTGTACTTGAAATTTTACTTTCCACACCTACAGTACATTGTAACTCAAAAATATCATCATAATCATTCCTAAAACATTTACAGCTGTAGTATTGTGTTTGAATTTCCTATGTTAAAGTTCAAAACTTCAATTGTTTACATAAGGCCTCTTTCAATCTGACATACACAAATCATGTGAGTGAATTAAAGGAAACTAATCAAGCAGTTTGAAGAAATCACTTAAAAAATAATAGAAATTTTACAGGTTCTCACCCAGTAAATGAAAAAATGAATACTTATACAGTATGTACCTGTTTTACCAGTAATTTAAAACCAGGACCAAATTGTCCAAGGCAATTCACAGATATGGCCAAAAAAGTGAATTCACAGTTACATATGGACTTGCAATGCATATTTATTTCATTAAAATTTTAAAAAAACCACCCAGTCTTGATTGAAAAATTTGCAATTAACTTTGAAAAAAAAAAAAGAGAGAGAGAGAGAGAGAGAGAGAGAGAGAGAGAGAGAGAGAGAGAGAGAGAGAGAGAAGAGAGGAAATCTTTCGAAACTGTGTATTTTGTTCTAACATGAAAGAGTTCAAAACCAGAAAAATCAGGACATTTTAGAGTAACATAAGAATTATATTTCGGAAACACATCAGACCTCGGAATGGAATACTCGCAAGTCTCTGATTCTCATCCTATATCCATAATCCCAACCGGAAATAGATGTATATTATCCAACATCCTACTAGATAATTTTTGAGGAATAAATAAGTGGTTTACAAATTGGTTTGACCAGAGACTTCTGAAACGATTTAATTGACAAGAAAAAATATCTCGAAGCGAACGATGTCATTTTAAAAGAAGTTTAATGATTGATATACTAACAAAATACAAGCTTGATGAGGGGATGCCTGAAATTGGGCTATGTACCTTGTGGTAAAATAAGAAGGGGTGCCCCGTATACGAAACAAAAGCCTGTGCTACAGGTACTCAAAAATTTAAAAAAAATGTATGCACTGATTCTGCTAATCCGAGATTCCTCCGACTCTAACCTGCTTTTACATTGTGACTTGTGCAGGGGACAAATCACAATGTAAATACAGGGGTTAGAGTCAGAGGAATCTCGGATTATGATTCTGCATGCATATGAATAGGCCTTTGTCTGTTTTAACCAGTAAGAAGTGCAAAATGTACCTGTGTGTACTTGAAATGAAAGTGTTCATTCCATGCAATCTATTTAAGGACATGACATACCATTTAACTGTATTTAAAACGGTCAGAATGACCATGAATGCCGGATTTACTTGTTCCCCCAAGGCAAGACATGACATGCATGTATATAAAGCATACCCTCAACACTCTACTCAAGATTTTATTTAATTTTAGCAAGACCCAATTTTATGGCGGAGCCTCTTACCATATGTATTCCTGGCAAATCTTTATGAATGTATATTTTGACAATGTTTTAATGTATCATCTGCTGTCTGTCTGTGTGTCGTGACACCTTGTCGATGATTCAATGTAGTCTAAAAAGAAAACAAGATCGGGTAAAATCTCAAAATTCCGAATTTGTATTCATGATCTACATAGTATATAATTATATATCAATTAAAATAAAATTACCAAACATGGTTTATATCTGATTAAATGATACAAAATAAAGATTATAGATTAGAGTAATAAAAAATCTTATAAAATAAGAAAAAAAAATGTAAATCGGGATCGAAATACAAAATATTTTTAAATCTTCAAGGGGCATGGAAGACTGAATTGCCTCTGTTTCAGTGCTGTTTCTAGTTTTGTTCATTACTCCTATCTCTTAACCATGAATGCAAATTTTCAGGGAACTGAGAGAGAGGTCTCAATGGTTGGTTACAAATCTTTGATTATGAGCGTTATCATTGTTTCAAACTTGGATTTTCATTTTTTCATTAAATATATGTACTATCAGGTCCAGTACAATCTCTTGATTTAGCTATATAGCTTTAAATAGCAATAAGACTTTATAAAGCAATTCAAAATAGCTTTACTTAGCTACTTATGTACAGTTTTTCACAAAATTTTTTTTTGCTAAGTCGCAATCTGAACTTCTCTATGCTTTGCACTTTTCATCCAAAATCTTGGCATGTTTGTTAAGTTGCCTAGGTGTAAGTCTGCTATCAATATTGGATCTAAATGACAGTCACCTCACCTGTTCTCTTTGTGTCCGCTGGCACAGAAGGCCCCATAATGACAGTCATACTAATCAAACTCAGTATATTAAATGTAACATGCTGGGAAAAATTTTGGCCAGACTGAGACTGAAACCCAGGACCTTCTGCTAACCACGCCAGGGATAAGTACATTTGCGTGGTAGCTCAGTGGTTAGAGCACCCACATGGTTAGCAGGAGGTCTCGGTTTCGAATCCCAGTCTGGCCGACATTTTCGCCTGCCTGTTACAATGACAAGAGAGTTTGTATTTTAAAACAATCACTGGAACATTCCTTGAATCTTTGTACTACCTTAAGTATAACTATAATTATAAAAGATTTCATACTGACAATTCACTGTTTACATGGTATATATGCATTAACTGTGTTTTGCTTTATCCAATTTATCATGACCTTTTTTTCTCCAGTTAGTTCTTTCTGCATTTTCTCATTCATATTAATGTTTACTCAGCACATACAAGTTTATGAACTCTGTGAAGGTGATAGACATCAAGAGAAAGAATCTGAATTTGTGGGCTAAATTAAGCATTTGAAGAAGGAGGAATGTCAGGTTTCAGGCAGTGGCCTGCAGCCAGATGGCTCAAGTGGTAGAGTGGCCTTTCTGGACTTCAGGGGACCTGAATCCTGGTCTGGACCATGGCATTTCCTCCTTTTCTAATAATTTTAATTTCCCTCTCTATAAAAATTAAACATCTCGTATCTATTTGGGTTTATCTTTCTTTTCCCCTTACTTCTAATCCAAACTGCAGTAGAGATACATATGATAAGATAAGCTTGATCAAGAAGCAGTCTAATTAAGGTTTATGCAAGCTTAAGTATGTTTATAAATCTTGAATTTCTCATTTCAGCTGCGAGATGTGTTGTTATCCCACAATATAATGACAGAGAGGTGCTTCACCACATGCATAACTAAATTCAGACAGAACACATTGACAGATGAAGAGGTAATCTTTATTATACCCCACGCAACTAGTTTCATATGAAATGCACAATCATAATTTTATGTTTTGCATGACCCGTCCGTCAGTTCATGTGAAAATTTCATATGTTCAGTCAGTTTTACAGTCCGTCAATATTGTCAGTTTCACTTTTTTTTCAGCGCAACTCCTCATAAACCGCTGGAAAAATTAATTTTATTGGGGGGGGGGGGCGTCAAACTTTGCAGGTATTTTCAGGACACAATGTGTAGATGTGCATATTACCAGGAAATTCCGATCATAATTTGTCCGTTATTTTTTATCGTTGTAAACTTTTCACATTTTTAACTTAGGCATTTGGCCATACCTTGAATATAGAGATGAACAGTTTGTCAGCGCAACTCCTCATAAACCCTGCTGTGAAAAATTAGAATTTCGTCAAACTTTGCAGATATTTAGGACACAATTTGTAGATGTGCATATTACCAGGAAATTCCTAATACTTTATTTTTCCGGGAATTTCCGCACTTTTTAACTTAGGCATTTGGCCATACCTTGAATATAGGGATGAACAGTTTGTCAGCGCAACTCCTCATAAACCGCTGCACAGAATTATATGGCAAACTTTGCAGGTACTTTATGGACACAATGTGTAGATGTGCATATTACCAGGAAATTCCGATTCCATTTTTTTTCCGGGAATTTCCGCACTTTTTAACTTAGGCATTTGGCCATACCTTGAATATAGAGATGAACAGTTTGTCAGCGCAACTCCTCATAAACCGCTGCACAGAATTTCGTCAAACTATATATTGCAGGTATCTCTAACCGTTAGGACACAATGTGTAGATGTGCATATTACCAGGAAATTTTTGCATCATGATTTACTGATTAAAATTATATTAGGTTGATAGCGACATACATTGTTATAACTAACGATTTTTAACTTTAGGCATTTGGCCATACCTTGAACATAGAGATGAACAGTTTGTCAGCGCAACTCCTCATAAAAACGCTGCACAGAATTATCATTTTATGCATTTAACTTTGCAGGTATTTTTAGGACACAATGTGTAGATGTGCATATTACCAGGAAATTCCCACGTGCAATGATCCCTTATTTTTACCATTTGGAGTCATTGTTGTGTTTTATTTCCACACTTTCCAACTTAGAGGTATTAAATGTTTTTTATTTAGAATATAGAGATTTTTGAACAGTTTGTTAGCACCACTCCTCTTAAACTTTTGTACATACATTTCAGAAATTTTAATTTCATACCAAAGAGTTTTGCCTATTTTTGTCAAGAAAATTTATAATGATTACTAGCCCGCACCCCCCCCGCAACCACTTCAAATTAATGTTTGGATTTGTATAATGCCAAGAAATTTTGATTCCAAAACTTATCTAGAAACTTCATTCCACATTTAAATGTCCTCATATGTAAGACATTTTGATGTGAACTTAGATTTTTTTGCAAAAATTGCCCTTTTTGATCTATACTATGTGTTTGAACACAGTGCACTGTGCCTTTTAGCAAATGTGTCTCAGTCAAGGTCACACAATCATTGTTCTTGGTGTCATTTGAAAGCACTTTATTAGTGTAGTATGCATACCAAATATTAAGTCTCTATCATTTTTCAAAAGTTATGGCGAAATTCGAAAAAAGCTATGACATAGGTCACAGTCAAGGTCACAAGGTCAGATCTTGGTGTCAGTAAAGGTGCATATGAAATGCATACCAAATATGAATCTTATCTCTCACGGTTTTAAAGTTATGGCGAAAGTTGAAAAAACTATTTTTAGCACATAGGTCACAGTGAAGGTCACTGACCTTGAAAAGTGCCTAATTAGTGGAGTATGCATTTCCAAATATGAATCTTTACCATTCAAAGTTATGGCAAAGTTACCTATTTTTAGCATAAAGGTATTGGTCACAAGGTCAACCTTGGTCACATGAAAGTGCCTAATTAGTGGAAAAAAATATGAATTCTCTATAAACGGTTCAGAAGTTATGAAAAATTAATTAATTTTTAGCATAAAGGTCACAATCAAGGTCATAAGGTCATCGACCTTGGTGTCAGTTGAAAGTGTTTTTGTAGTGGAGTATCCATCCAAATATGAAGTCTCTAATTGATTTTCAAAAGTTATGGCGAAGGTTAAAGTTCAACAGACAAACAAACAGACAGGCATACAGCTAAACATGACAGACAGGACAAAAACAATTTTTTGGGTGCATAAAAACTGTCTTGGAGTTAACAGCAGTTCTCTGTTTCTCCTGAATGTTATGTACAATTTGATCATCGGAAAATGTTTCAAAAAGTCGGGCTCAGTGATCAATTAATTTGTCAACATTTTAACCTTGGCCTCCATGTTGCAACGTCTGCTCTGTCTAAAGGAAGAAGTTTTCCAGACAGCCTGAGATCGTATTGCTGTATCAACCAAAAGATGCAGATACACGTATTTCATATGGGGTAGGTCAGTCATATTTTTTTTTAACATGTGTGTCACTGTGATGATGAAAATAAATACTCTAGGCCTAGGACTGAGCTACCAGGTTACGTACGTTTCAGCCAATATGCCCATGATTCAAATCTTTCAATCAGCTCATAGAATTTTATTATGGTTAACCACAATTAAAGGTGTTAATTTTGGGGAGCCATGGGCTGTAATCTGAAATGATTTACCATACATTTTTTTTTTGGTAGCGTCTGTGCATGAGGAGATTTCTGAAAAAGAATAAGTGCTTATTCAACTTGCTGTGATTTTAACGGGCTTAAAGCTTCATGGATGGTTATGTTTGAGGTATATATATTCTTTTTTTCTTTTTTTATTGCTAATGTTTAATAATTAAAAACAGTCAACTATGATTGTCATTATTATAAATAATATTTTAAACAAATTGATATTAAATTGAAGAACCCAAACTTGTGTTTATAAAAAGATTTTAAAAGGAATAAAAGCAATGAATTTAAATTTTATTAATATTGCACCATTATAATTTAAGTACTTTTTTTTTAATTGATAGGATTTGCCATTGGGCCTGTGCTGCTGCAAGAAATTAAACATGCAGAGACCTTACAAATTAATACAAAGAAGTCTGAAGAAAATTTTTATTGGACAGATGGGTGTAAAGCACAGACCTGAGATATAAAATGAATTGTGAGAAATATGAATCAGGGATGCAGGTAGAAAATGGCAAATGTGATCCAGATTGATAAAAAATGTCTAAAATTTTTTCTTGTTTTGTAAATATTCAATGCTATGTCAATTGTTATTTTTTCCCCAATACCTAATAGTGTTGAACATTTCACTCCCACTTTTGCTTAAATAAATGAATAAATTTCCATTTATTTAATATGAATATTAAAAAATGCCACATTTTTTCCATGATGAACTTGTGGCTTAAATAAGAGTTCCAGTTTTTTTCCATACATGCTCCTATTTGTTTGTCAAAGATATAAGATCCAATACATTGCTCATGAACATAATGTGTAATTTTGTTCATTCATTTATATGTTTTTTTCTCATAATGATATAATAAATTGTATGTAATTTTGCACATTGTTGATGGTTTTGTAAATATTTATGTATGTATGCATCATGTAGCGGTTTTATTAGCCATTTTATAACCATGTGATTAACTCCGTATTTTCTCCAGATTTCCGTATTTCCGCATTTTATCAACCAAGTAAATACCTCCATATTTTGTATATATGGAAATGCGGAAATCTTCAGAGAATGAAAATTTAATTTCATCCACATTTTCTCCATATTTTGAATACGGAGAAAATCTGGAAATTTGAATCTATGAAAATCTGGAATGAATGCGGAAAATTAGTCCAAATACTCCCGTCCGCATTTTTTCCTTATTTTGAATAAGGAAAAAATGTGGAGATCTGAGGTGCGGGTACATTATTGTGAATATTTTTCTTTTCTTTTACATATACTTTTACACTTAAGTCATGCCAGATTCAAAAGCTTTGAAAGTGCATGTCTAATAACAGGTAATTTATTTCTTAACAGAAGTCCTGCATTGATACCTGCATGGGAAGGTATGTGAACTTCAATCAGAGACTGATGGCGACATTTTTTGAGCAGCAGCAGGCTCGAATGAAAGCTATAGCAGAAGAACAGAACGCTCAGGTTCCCCCGCAACAAACACTCATACAGAAAACGTGATATTAACGATGTAGGACTCCATGTACCATGTATATTTTAAAACACCATCCTTAGAAAATTTCTATGCTTCAGTTTTATTTACAATTCATATGTCTTGAAGTTTATAAAAGCTATGTTTATACCAGCTATTGAATGGAAGGAGTGATTACAAAATTGATGTTTTCTTTAATCAAAATTGCAGATGCAGATATGTTCAGTTTCATTTTTTTGCAGTCTTCATGTTTTAGAACTTTGGTCACTCTAGTTAAATTCTGAAATGTTTCTATAATAAAAAGGCAAATATGAAGTCAGTGTCTATTGATAATTTTATCTGACACTTCATTGTGTATTTATATTAATCAGTCTTTATGATCATAGACATGCTGGTGGTACACAGGTAAAAAAAATTGTATATGACCTTGTGTACCTAATTATTTTATACAATATATGTACATTTTCAGAGAATTCTAAAAATTTTCATTCATAATGTTATATTATTTCATAAATAATGATTAACAAGTAACAAGGTTGATTTTATGTCCCCCCCCCCATTTTTGATCAGTATTTTGCACAAATATAGCACATAATGTAAAATTACAGTTAGAATAAATATTTTTGTGCTTGAATTCTTCACTTTTTTTGACATTCCAAACATTGCAAAACAGAGGTACTTTTATTACAACAACAAAAAAAACAAAAAACAAAAAAAAAAAAACAAACATAAAAAAGCAAAAACGAAAGAATAAAAAAATTCAAAATCGAACTAATGATAATAAGGGGGAAAAAAATAAAATAGACTTATATATATACTTATTCTTTTATTAATTCTGAATAATCTTCATAACATTAATTTGAGTGTCATTTGAAATTCAGCATTTATATTCATATCAAACAGAAGCAAGTCAGATGTATGTGTATGTGGGATGGGGGATGGGGGTTGGGGTGAATGTTGAAAATATCATTTAGCAGTGTATTTGCAAATCTAATGAAGCAAAAACTAGTGCCCCCTGGGGTATATCGAAAATGCATAGACTGCAGCTTTATCAATAAAACCAAAACTCAAATTTACATAACTTTGTCATGGTCATCAACAAAAGTATTTAAAATATCTTAATGTACCACAAGTACTCATTGTTAAAATTAAAAAAAGATTCTTTAGTTCTGATTGAAAGTATCTATGTTGTTTTTCGAGATCAACTCCCGACAATCTTTTGGAAATCAGGAATTTCCATGGGTAAAAATTGTGCAACGTTATTAGGTTAGTAGACCTATTTTGTATTCAAATGAAGCAAAATTTATTTGAAAACGTTAATATGAAAAATAATCTATTTTTGTGAAAACGTTTTCTCAATAAATAATATTCATTTTCTTTCCTACATGTATATTGATTCCATATATTTCTATAAACTAGAAATAAAAGACACACTTAGTCTAACACAACTGTTTTATATTTAGATAAAAACGTTGATTATAAACTAGCAATGAAATTTTGTTTTAAACTAACAGACCAATGTTTCTATCTTTTGTCTTCAGATTCCCTTATTTATGTAAACCTATAGGGTTTGAGACTAATATTTTAATTGGTAAAATAAACATCATCAATTATTTACAATGTACTTATTATCGAGTGCATTGACACCTAATTCAAGAAGGATACAGAAGTGTAAGACTTTTCCGTAAAAGTAAACAAACAAGTTATTCGGATTAAAGACTATATAACATACCAGGATGTTTGTCTATCTACGGACATCAATCCCAAAACAATAACTGAACATTATTAAAGTTTATATTAAAGTTATACTCACTTTTGCCTAATACAAGGACACTGACCACCAGTTTACAAAAACTTATGTTTTGATTATAAATTGTTTTGTCAAAATTCCAGGATTTAGACCCATTTATTGAATAACTTGTTTATCGTATATGCAAATGACTATTATGTATTGTACATTATAAATACTATCTACGGCGATCTTCGGTATCTCTTTTGTTCGTAACCACTATACGATCATCATTTGTATTCACTAATAATTTCACAAGAAAAGGGTAAGACATTGTTTTCTTTTCTACCTTGTTTTTAAGACCATCTTCTTTGAAATTCTAAAAGAACTGCGAACGATAGTATTGTTCTCCCGCCTACCTCCAAGTCAATTTTCAAAAGTTAACATATTCGATGAATTTTTAATATTTTTTGTAGATAATTATATGGATTTTCATAAAACATTACTTATTTGGGAAAACAAAGAGAGATAACTCTAAAATTTTGGTAAAACTTGTGTTTTTTACTATAGAAATCAACGGAAAACGGAAAATATTTTTAAAACATCAAAAATTCCTTTTTACAGGTAATATGGAACGTTATTTCACAAATTCATACCAAAGCTTTTTGTGTGACACGGGGGGGGGGGGGGGACATATGTTTATTTGCAAAAAACGATAAAAATGCTTATTTTCCATCAATTTCATAGCGATATACAACTGAAACATTATATTTTATTGAAATATTTATGTTTTATTTATTTGCCTAAAACGTAAGAAAAGATATAAGAAACATTAAATCATATCCAAGACTATTTCAAAATATGGTGATGCTTGAAACTCTGATTTCAAAGGAAAATATCGTCTACCCCCCTTTTTTCAAGAGCTGAATTTATAAATAATTTACTGTTTAGCGCTGGTATTAAGACAATTTATCAATTACCATTGAACTGTTCTTTGTATTAAACAAAGATTTTATGGCCAAATTGCTATTTATATTGAATTAAACGGTTCCAAAATATAGGCGGGGATCGAGAGTTAGCGTGCGTATTTCTTTGGTTTAAAGAAAGGCTTGGCAGGTTTTACATTTTAACATAGTTCGATAGTCATTATAATTACAAGTAAAATGATATACAGCACAGCTACTTTCTCTTTCGCTGATTAGAGATATTACTAAAAATAGCTTAGTTTACACCTGAGAGCTCGCACTGAAAATCGCTGTATACCGGAAGTGACGTGTGTGACGTCACAAGTGTGACTTGCAGTACAAGTATATATTAGTAAATCATCAACACCGTCACCTTTGGCGCAACCCTCCGAGGTTTTAAAACTGCAAGATGCAATAAAATGTGATGATAATAAGCAGTGGTCATTTTCAAAACTAATTTGATGTCCTGTTTTCGTTGCCTACAGGTCTTGTAAAATTTTAAAATCAAACGCAAGCAGGCAGTACGTTAGTTTCATTTTCTTGATTTCTAATTTTATTTCTGGAAAAAAAAACACTATACTTCTACATGCATAAATATTGTAACTATATGGTTTGAATACGCCCCCTCCCCCTCCCCAATTTTTTTTTTGAATGCGCAAGTTTTTTTTTTTTATCACAAACACGACATTACGGAAAGGGAGGCCTTTAATTTAAAGATTAATTCCTATTTTTTTTTCTTTATTCTCTTTTATTTTTTTGAGTAATTCATTTTCGCTTTGATCAGCTTTGCTTCCCCATTTTTGTATTTACACATTTAATTTACTAAAAAATTTTTTTTTAGTTCGACCATAACCTTTACAGGGCTGGTACAAGCACCACAACCCCCCTTCTAAAAAAAATATCGCTCATAGATATATTTGATCAATTAAATTATAATGAAGTGCCGGATCATTGTTTTGAAGTTCACATCATCGGTAAAGTGCATGTTGTAGATTTTTTTTCCAAACCTCATTATTTCCGTATTCTTTTTCAATCACTGATGTTATTATTAGAAGATCATAATAATTTCACATTTGGAAGCTGTTCACCCCTTTCTTAGTGTTTCCGTGACTCTATCTTGATTTACTCTGCGATTGTATTTAATCACTGCTTATTTACGCTTGTGAACTCTTAATAATATTGTCTGTTAAAATTCTTTTTTATCTCTGTGAAATAACCTTTTATAAAGCCATTTCATACAAGCATATGATTTTAAATTTTTTCCCGACATTTTAAGATTTACCCACCCTGTCATAACCTGATTATAAGAATGAAAAGTTAAATAGGATTTAAAAAAAAAATAACTACGTTTTTTTAAAATAAAATCCCACAATCATCATTAATTTGTGGGGTTATTAATTCTATTTGGGGGGGGGGGGGGTGTAATGGCGTATACACATCACTCGGAGCTCCTTGCATGGCTCGTATATTTATTTGAATGGAGTGTAGCAGAGTAAGCCGAGGATTGCTGGTTGTGCACATTTATTCCAAAATAATCTTTCTATCTCGAATAATTGAAGTTTTAGCTTACAGTAACGTGCTGAAATTTTTACCGAGAACAGTGTGTATATTATATATTGTTTGGATTTACAGGGGCGAGGTCCATTTCACACCGTCTATAGTTCTATACATCAATTTTTTGTTCTCATTAGCACTAAATACGAATTTAAATGATTATTTAATTTAGATAAATGTAACTGTGTATCAACTTCTATATATATTACAGTAATGTTTAGATTGGACATCTACAAGGTAGAATGTCGATCATCCGGGACCCGGGACTTGTTCAATATTGGATAAAATATTGCATGAAACAATCGACAAACACGTGAATAATGTGACACATAAAACAAATTATACATAAATATCAGTTATATTTTAACAATTTTAGTAAACTCACTAAACTCTGAAAGTCGAATTTAGAATCTGACTTTTAATTGAATGTGTTGCATCAAGCCTAGATATATACGTAACCTTGAACAAATTACCGGTAAATTCCTCAATATTTTAAAATGAGGATTAAAACATTTTTTTTCTTTTAATTCATAAAATTGTAAAACATACAAATTTTATCTTTTAAAATCAATTTATACAACTGCAAGCAACGAAGTAACTTGTCTTTGATCTAAATTAATTTTAAAAAGTCATGCGTACAGTTTTACTGGAGGGGGTGGGGTCATTTGTTTAAAAAATCATTGCAAAAAATTAAAAAAAAATGACAATGAAAAAATATTCTAAAACTTTAAACGTAAAATGTAAAAAGTGTAGAAAAAAGAGTGGGTTCCCACAACAAATGGAAAAAATGAATGCAAAATTAAAATCAGTAGGGACTTACATTATTCATGCTATCAGCTGTTTAGGCCTTTATATGTTAAATTTTTTTTTTTGGGGGGGGGTTAATATATATTTTTTAAATAATGATTTAAAATGCTATTGTGTATATTTTCTATCGTTTTACTCACATAACAATCAATAGTATGCAAACGATTTGCTTCCTCAGGTTCCGCATCGTTTGTGTCATTTTCGTTCGGTTCATTAGCCTAGGGCTTTGAGAGGGTTCTACTCTCACATTTTCTGTATTATTCCATAGCAATGAATCCTCAACAAAACATGACGATCCACAAGAAAGTTCTTACGATTCTTCCTGTAATGGACTATCAGAATTAGCGTTTTCTGTCTATCACTTGAGGGAATATGAAACAGGTTAAGTGAAATACGTTGATGAGTAAAAGTACCGTGGCCTATCTTTAATTAACTATTAAAGTATTCTTTTTAAAAATGGCTTCGGCGAAAGTGCCATCCTTTGGGGATGATTTAACAAAGGCAATCGACGATTTAACAGCGCAAATATCTGAAACTGGAATTGTAAATGATAAATCTAATTATAATGAGGGAATGAGTTCAAATTGCTTTCCGTCTACAAGATGAGGGGGGTGAAGAGGATAAGAAAATTAAAGAAGGCATGAGTTCTGTTTTAAATCAGGTTAAATCAGTCACTGCTGCAATTGCTGTTCCTATTAATCAGGTTATTACACCTTTTGAGGGGGATCCGGGAAAATTTAAACAATGGATAAAAGATATAGAAAAATATGCCAAGATGTCTGATATGAATAATGAAGATATTTCAAAAATAGCATAATGTCACTTGTAAAGGGTCTATGGGAGATTTTATTAAAAGATATTTAGCAGAGATAGAAGGTTCTGGTGAATTTCCTAGCTGGAATGATTTAAAACAATTCTTGAAAAATAGATTTGCAGAAATTACTGATGCACAACATGCATTGGCAATCATAGGAAAGATGAGACAACATTCCAATGAGAGTGTACAAATATTTGCTGAAAGAATTTTACAAGTCGCGGAAGATGCATACGCGTCTGAAAATGTGGAACATGAAATTATTCAAAAACAGTTGGTTGATATTTTTACTGATGATTTATCCTTTGATTTCTTGAGAATGAAAGTTTTAAGAGAAAATCCCAAAACGCTATAAAACGCGGTTCAAGTGGCAACGAGGGAACAAAATTTGCGCAAACGTTTGCCTTTAAGATCTCAAGATAACGGGGGTGACATATCTTCTAATCAACAGATAATTAAATACGGCGGGAGAGAATTTGTTATTAAGATTTTCAGAATTAAAATCAAATATTTTTCGAAAAGAAGAAGCCATGGAAATGGATCACTTTCGTAATCAGCGTTTTCACAGGTGTAGGAAAATTGGGCATAGGCTAGGGCAAGATTTTGTCCCTTTCAAGTTTTGGCAAACAAACCAAATTCTAATAATCAAAGACCCAGAGTACATGTAAGAGAAGTTTCCAATGGTTTAAGAGAAGGGGTGTGTAATTTACAGTGTTGGCATTGTGAAAAATATGGGCATATTCGCAGAAATTGTCCTGAAAGATATCATGGGAGGAGGTTTTTTCAGCGTCAAAATTCTTTTAGACCCCAATATAATCCTTTGAAAGGTTCGAAACAACAGGAAAACTAAGAAGCTCTTTTCATAATGAAGCCGATGAAGAGAGGTTAAATAAATGTGGTAGGAAAACTGTATATAAAATTTGTTTAACGGGAAATCCAAGTTCTTGTCTTCTTAAATTCGGGAAAAATAAGTTTAGGGCTTTCATAGATACAGGGGCTAAAGTATCACTTCAGTAGATAGAGTCAGAAATACACGTAAAGTACCTATTTATAGTATTTAAATAAGTATTTTTTCCAAATAGTGGTTTATGCTAAAGTATATAAATATAAGATATATACCTTTAAAAAAAATGATAATAACTAGAATCAAGAGTGCCCCCCCCTTTTTTTTCGATCCAACAATACGACTGTCTTAGCTCTCTGACTTTCTCCGAACACGATTTCATCATATTTAATGTTTATTATATTCTTCATGTCAACAATTTAAGATAAGTTTGATAAGTCATACAGTTTTAAATTCTTTAATTTTATCAGGGACCTGCTATAGACAGAGGTCCCTGATGTTACGACTTCATTGATGAACAAGTTACTGTGTCTTGCGCATGCGTCTTGAAGTTATTGTTATAGGTGAGTTCACGCACCTAAATTATTACGTCGAATACCTATTGTGTGATGGACTTGAAAGGTAAGTGAGATCTAGTTTCAGTTTCTACCTTTTGTATTCCATATAATTTTATTCACAATGCAGTGTATATTTACTTAATATGGCTTTACGAGGCTTTTTTTGCAACAAAACCGACAGAATAACCGGTGTATTTGTGGCATCAGCTGACGATTTGGCAGTTGTACATTTGAATCATTCATCATGTTCATTATGAGCCCAAACTTATATTTTTTCTTTACATCGAACGGTAAACGTTATTTTTTTTTGTTTGGCCTGTCTTTATTACTTGTAACTTAATTAGAGTACGTTCTATGGGGAATACATACATCAACATTCATACAGTGTATTTGCATTGAGCTGAACAGGTAAATATATCAGGTATCTTACTGTGCTGTAACACTATGGAAACCCCTGAAATCTAAACATTTTTGACATGTTTAAACATAATCACAGAATGCAGTTCAACATTTACAAAGATTCTGAATTTATAATTAGGCTTAATATTAGGGTATTATTACAAGTAGTGAACGGCACAACTCTAGATCAAGACTATATATATGCATAATGTAAAATGTAAATGAATAAATTGTACTGTATTATGCGTACATGTATATGAATGATGATAAAAATTGCCATTTGCCCTCTCTCATTTACCCTGGAGATATTTTGAAAGGAAGCTGTGATTGCTCATGATTGTCTTGATTTCACATTTATTTACAATTTATGAAAATGGTAAGTGAAATGCAGTAACTCAAAACCATGCGCAGCAATCAGTAAAAACTGAATTACATATTGAAGTCTTTTAATCATTAAAATATGAGCTTGACAAATCATGATATCATATTACATGTAAATTGAATTCTGTTTCTTCCTATAGCAAGAAAGACTATGAGATTATTAAGCAGGCCGGGTTTAATCAGCTAATATCCCTTATATATAAATGTCAGGAAAAATGATCCTTCTGCTAAAGTTAATAGAAAATTAATTAATTGCCCCCCACACACACACACACACAGAATCAAAATATAAATCCCAAATAATGTCTGGCTTTAATTTTACTTACTCTTTTAATTAAAACAATAAACAATAATTAATTCTGAGATTAAATAAAAATGTATGTTGCATGGAGGTTAAGTCTTTATATCATAGTGAAATAAAATAATTTTCCAACTAAGTTAGAAATCAAAATAAGAATTTTGTAAATAGTGTGCATTTCAGTATAGCTAAGTAGTTTGGAAACTGCCTTTGAAGAAAAGAGAGAGATGAATCAATTATCAATGGATACAGTTTAAACACTTTTTCTAACACCTAATGCAGAGTTGAGAAACTATGAAGAAGTGCTATCAAATTGGAACCTTTTAGTAAAATTCTAAACTGATTCATGCATGTTCATAATTATGCCATTGGAATTAATTTCTTGTGATTGATGAGGATTAAAATTTCAGCAGTATAATTATTTAATACCTATAGAGCTGAATGGTACAGGTAAATTGCCATTTTGATAGATATCCTGTGACACATTCACTTTGTTTACCTGATATTGATGAATTCAAGCTGAGTTGCGAAATGTAAGGATTGTCTTTGTTGACAAACAGCGCACAATTACCGAACATAAAACCTATGGAATTAGTGATTTGAAGTAAACAATTTAAATGGTAAATCCAGGTGTATACCTGCTGACCACAGCAGGACAATGCTTTTGTTTCCTGATTTAGATCGTCTGAGTCAGGTATTTCTTAATCTTTATTTTGTTCAGAAAATTATGCCAGAATAGTCTAATTTCAAATGTAAACATTGCCTTGGAGGATGTCCATAGAATCTGACTTTTAATTCCGTAATTTTTAGCCAAATCAAGACAGGTGTAGCTTATCATCATTTTTTTTTTTTGCTGATTTAATTAGGGGTAGAATTTACAAACAAGTACCTTGACATTAGGAGAAAGGTTAGTAAAACAACGGTCTAATATGTTACAAGTTATAAACTTGTAATTATTAAAATATTTACATAGTTAGGTGATTTATCAGAAATTATCTGATATACTTTCATGCATTTGTTGATATGGAGGATCTTGTTTGATGATTCGATCCTGATAAAGTCTGTTAGAGGTTGATATTTTCTGATGTACAGAGGTTAAGTACAGTAAGTTGTGCCATTGTCCTTGTACATTACACTCGAGTGTTGATAAACTTGAGAAAAACTAAACTTGTGTGTATGACGCATCCATCTCTGTAAAACTGCACACATTTTATATACGAGATATTAATCTGTAACAAATATGTCCTTCTTATAAAGTAGCTGTACACTTATAAATCTTTAAATATCTACACAGCTGCATACTTATGACATTGGTCTCACACGCCATAAGAAGATAACACAATTTTCATTTTCGGATGAGTTGTGTAGGTCTTCCTCTGTCATTTTTATTATCTATCAATGAACATACTTGTGCAATAATACTTATTGATTTTTCATGTATGGAATTTTTTTTTAGGAGCTTCTTCATCAACTTAGGAATAGGAAACATTCAGCATTTCACTAATGGAAGTATTTTTCGTAATGGAATGACAAGATTCTGTGAGTTGGACACGTCTATAGTGGGACTCTGAAATGTGAAACCTTTTGTAGCTGTGTCTTTGTAGTCTATGTGATTTCTAGTGGCCAGTACAAATCAAGTCAATATGTTTTCCTACATGATGCAGTCCCTGAAATCGGACAAAGGGTGTTACTTTATTTTGGGACTACTGCTCTTTTTATACATCATCATAATGGATATTATTCTCTACTGCTCGCTTCAAAATACTACGCTAATCGATCAAAAACACGAGGGGTCGTATTCTCCTTTCTCCCCCCTCTCAACCAAGCTGCTTATGAGCGATCCTATTCAACATTACATAATCAATCCAACGTCGGAACGCTTTGATGAAATCACCAGATTCAGCAAGATTTTCTATTTTATCTCGCCAAATATGATCAGTTTTACCCATCTTTTTCTTGCTTTGGTGGCAGCAAAGTTTGTCTCCTCCGACTCTTTGAGAACCAGAAGACTCGGGGTACTGGTGTACGAGTTCCGAACCTGGCTAGACAGTTTAGATGGGGTGGTTTTCCGTAGTCATAAAAACCAGCAGCACGAATACAAGTCCCATCATGACAGTTGGGGATTTTTGATCGATGCTGGATGTGATATAACAGGGGGAGTCATTTTCTCTTTTGGAGTGTTATTTTATTTATTCAAAATGTCGCCGTCCTTTTTCAATAAGTACAAGGAGGAAGGCAGTGCTACTTTACCTCTTACCAAAGCAGAAAATGGCTATAGCAGTGGGGAGAAAACCAATGGGAAACCCAGCAAGAAAATGATTTTTTGGAAATGTCTGTGCTTTGGAATGCAGGTATTCTTCTCTTCAGGAACTTGGGACAAGCGGGTAGAACAGTATGGCGAGACTTATGCATCTAAGTTAGATGCACAAAAAACTGTGAGTGTAAAATATTAACTACAGGACATACTTGATAATATCATTACTATGAGCCATTGTCTGCATTAATATGTAATTGGTGTAGATTACATTGTTTTCATTAATATGTAATTGCTGTTGATTACATTTTCTCAGTAAATGTCCTTATTTTGTAGGTGAAGCAGACGGCATCGTTGCATACATTGAGTACATGGCTTATTCTGTATGTCTGGCGATATATTGATGGCCAGGCACTGTTACAGTTATATTGTCTGATTATATTTATGGACAAAGTTTGGGTAAGAGAATACAATATTGTGTTACTGCAAGTGAAACCAATACCATTGCAGTGGCACTGTGCATTAATTATAGCAAGCATACATATTTGTATTAAGAGATTTTTTAGATCCACCACTGTTTGTTATCTGTACCTCGTTTATTCAGTAACAATCAGTTCATATTTCAATGTATATAAAGAGGTTTAGAATACCTTTGAATAAAAGAACAAATGTAGATTATACAAATTAAATGATATTTCAGCAGTTGCTTTTAAATGTGTTTGAAAGAGATTTGCCTTTTTAAAAAGTCTTTCCTGGGAGTTGTCATTATACTTGCTATACATTTAGTATTTTAATATGGTATAAATTTTCTTTTTCAGGAGTTCTTAAATTTTGTTCAGTATGTTGGATTTGGTGTAATTTTGTTTATCAATGTCATCTCAGAGATACATCTTCGACGTGTAAGTACATGATAGAACTTTAGCTGTATGTGCACTTAAATTTTATGCCCTTTTTCATGCATGAAGAACAGTTAAGTTTTGTTTGACATAAAACCACAATACTTCACATCACATCTGAATAAAAATAATCTCAAGATTAAACACATTTTTCCTTTTTCCTTATAGTAAGTGATTACATACTAATCTTATATTAAATTAACTTTTTGAACAATAAGGTTACAAAAAAAAATTCAGTTAATTTACAATATACATGTAATACTAACATACCAAATCATATTTCAAAATTCTATTTTGATTTACACTGCTTTTAGAAATTTAGAAAACAAAACAAACCCAAATCTTATAAGCAGATTTGGGCATATAGACTATGTACATTTTGTAACAAATCCAATTTTCTATGATTATTTAAACTTATTTTCTTCTCAACTGTATTTTATTAACTAGAAGTGGAATAAGTAATAAATATAATAAAACATACCCTTTTCCACATTTGTCACATCGTCGTTGTCGTCGTCGTCGTTGTTGTCTCGAAACTTTTCACATTTTCATCTTCTTCTCAAGCCACTCGGGCCTTCGGCCAAACTTGGCACAAATATTGGTGTCTCGGGCTGATACAGGATGTGATATGGAAAAGGGTATGTATTATTCTCTATGTATATAAAGAGGTTTAGAATACCTTTGAATAAAAGAACAAATGTAGATTATACAAATTAAATGATATTTCAGCAGTTGCTTTTAAATGTGTTTGAAAGAGATTTACCTTTTTAAAAAGTCTTTCCTGGGAGTCTTGTCATTATACATGCTATACATTTAGTATTTTAATATGGGATAAATTTTCTTTTCTCCAGAACCACTGGGAGTCCTAAATTTTGTTCAGTATGTTGGATTTGGTGTAATTTTGTTTATCAATGTCATCTTTTACAGAGATATATAAGAAAAATCTTTAAAAATCTTCTTCTGTACAACCACATGATAGAACTTTAGCTGTATGTGCACTTAAATTTTATGCCCTTTTTCATGCATGAAGAACAGTTAAGTTTTGTTTGACATATAAGGCAGTCATGTTTAGAAAACTATCACTTCACATCACATCTGAATAAAAATAATCTCAAGATTAAACACATTTTTCCTTTTTCCTTATAGTAAGTGATTACATACTAATCGTTATATTAAATCAGTAAATGTATTATGAGGTACAAATGAGTGTTACAAAAAAAAAATTCAGTTACTGCATATTCAGCATTCTTCATATTGATACTCGTTAACATACCAAATCAGGTATTGTTGTTAAAATTCTATTTTGATTTACACTGCTTTTAGGCAATTTAAGGAAAACAAGTATTAATCAGATTTGGGCATATTCTATGTAGTAAGCAGATTTGGGCATATTCGACTGAATGTGGCTCAATTTTGTTTACACAAATCTAATTTTCTACTCTGATTACTACGCATAAACAATCTGGAAAACGAGATATTTAGGAAACTTGTACTTAAATCCACATACTAACAAATAGAAGTGGAATAAGTGAGAGGAAAAAAAATGAGTGGTTTTTAAATTAATTTTATGAGAGAAAGTGTTTCAGTTGAACGACAGGGGTCCAAAACAAAATTCTTTTCTTAATTAAGTAAATTAATTTTTATCCATTAAAAATTTACGTTAATTGCACTGGATTATTTTTTTTAATAAAAACACACTGTAGGTTGAGAAAAACACTAGTTTTAAGTAGTCTTAACAATGCTCAAGAAATTTGAGAAAAAAAAAAACGGCCACCATATCATTTTTTTTTATTGTTGAAAGTTTTATAGAGATATGTTGTATAATTGTGCTGTGAGTGATGTATGTATAAACATTTTGATGAATGGTGTCCATACTTCTCTTTTCTCACTACAGAGTTATAAATTTGACAGAGCCTTTTTTGTGACAATGCACAGCCTTGGAATTCATTATGGATGTGTATTTTTTATTTCTCAGAATTTTTTTTTAAAGATCAGAACCCTTTAAGGCAAAATTATTTTGTGTTCATGTAAAGATTGTCTGATGACAATTTTCCTGGAAAACATGGAAGGTACTCCATGTTGAAAATGAAATATATGAAGATATATAATGTTAATTTTATATCTGATGTAATGATTTGTGAAATCCACCACAGTAAAACTCAGTTATATAATCTAGTATGAGGCCAAAAATAAAAATAGTCTTGTTTCCTGCTACCCGACCTACCCTATATTTTTGCAGCTGACCCACAGTTTTTTAGTTTTGAGGAAAAAAATCGGGAAATTTTGGAATTTCTTGTTCCAAAACTGAAAAAAAATATATATTCAAGTGGTATTTCATAAAATTCTGTTTTAAAAATGGACTTTCGTAACATTCCACTTGAGTTGTGCATCAAAAGACATGAAATTTAATTTTAATAGGCAATATTGACCTACACTACAGTATGTTTAATTTGATTTTGTATTAGTTCATATCCAAAGAAAGGCTGTCGGATAAAATAAAATAAATAAGAAAATTAAATAATTTCCCTACCTACATGTACCTACCCCATTTTGCAGGCTGGTAGCAGGAAACAAGACTAGTATTTTTTTGGGCCTGAACATGGAATCTGACTTAGCAAAACTATATATATAGTAAAGTTTGTTTGGACATCTGTCAAACTTTTAACAATTCTTTGTAGAATCCTGGAATATCAAAACTATGGATATGGCAAAATGAATTTGTATTTGTTTAAGGTTAAAAAAAAATGAAAAAAAAAAAATCTTTCATCATGTTTTAGAATATGGCCAGGGTATGTACTGGTAGGTGTTTTCACATGTTTCAAATGTCTGTCCTCAGTCCCTTCATCCTTCACCAGAGATAGATCTTGCGAATTACATATTTTAAGCTTCTAAAGCATGCCAGTTTGTAAGAAAATGGAAAAGTAATTGAAGTCACCACTCACCAATAATGAAATTTTTATTTTCCTCCTATAGGTAAGAGATTATATTGGGCTCTGAAAAAAAAGGATGGCATCACAACAGTTCCTGCACATTAATGCATTCTGCTGATATTTAAAGGTAGTTTTAAATACTTGGACTAGTCTTGACTGAAAATTTACGGTATACACATGTATGCTTTTTTTTTCTTTTTGTGTGTAAAAATGTATTTTTGTGATATTTTATAATGATTGTGTATGTATTGGTGCTGAAATTATGGGGACCCTTTCTTTGATTTTATTAATTCTTCTTATTTTTGACCATTAATTAATGGTACAACTTAAAAAAAGAACTGCTCTGATATAAATTGATTTTGATCTTTATATGTAAATAACATTAATTCATCTAAATTAAGAGTAAAATTAAGGAATTTTTTAAATAATTGTTGTACATTTCTTTTTTGTAAAATGGTAACTTCTGTATGACAAAGAAGTAAATTCTGACTGATTTATTATTATGTGCAGTTTTTTCCTTGTTATGTTTATATTTATGATATATAGGATAAAGTGTTTGTTACACACTGCTTTATTTTCACTTTGCTGGTCTTCATGTATGTTAATACCTGTTCATTACTCATCTGTTGCCAGATTTATTAGGTATTGTGAAAGGTTACCTTGTGTTTTTGTAACAGCTAGGCAACAGATTTACTCCACCATCAATGAAAAGAAGTGCAAATAATGATGATATTTTGAATTCCAGGGTTGATATTTGTTTTTATACTGAATCTATGTGAATAATAAGCACATATATTTTTTGCACTGTTTCAGTTCCACTAGGTTGAATAAATTGCTGAAGTTTATTCCATATATGTAAAAAAGCTGATTTTTTTTGTAAGCATATTCATTTTTATGCTCATTTTTACGTGTGTATGGAAATGAAAGATTCATTTGAAAGCTGCATTCAATCTGTTGCACAGATTTTTTTTTATGTTCACATATGCTGCTTGCCTTTCATGATTTTTCATTCCATTATCTTTTAATTATATTAACAAGAATAAGTAAAAAGAAATAAAGGGGAAATATCCTCCTTTTTGAGCAGGTACCTTCAACCAAAAAAAAGTTTAACAATCAAATTAAGAGAGAAATGAGAAAAAAGATCAGCCAATAAATAATGACAGCCCATTCCAACACAGTACATTTCAATTGGCATTATATACCTCAAATTTAGTCATGTTAAAATAGTATTTTTGTGTGCACATATGTATTTGATTTAGTGTCAGTTATAAATATTAAACGGTAGAATAGGGACAGAAGCATCTTTGTTTGAAGTATGCATGGAGTGAATGCTGAGTTGTGTTAATTTATGATACATTTGCTTAAATCTTTTATTAGTGTTAAGCTGCTTGATTTTTGATGATTTTTGTTAATATTTTGTTTCACTAGAGTTCACTTAAAAAAAAAAATAGGTTGATAGAAAAAAATGCATTCTTAAAACAAATTATGCTAATCTTATTCAATTTCAAAATGAAGTTTAATTGAGGTCCTAAGGAGAGAGAGGCAAAAGAGACCTAACCTATATTGTAAAGAAGCCTCTTGGTAAGAACATTTTAATGAAGAATTAAAACTGTAAAAATACCTAATTTTCCAACATGTGTATGATGGGTGTGTCATTGATAAAAAAAAAAATGCAATCTTTGTAAATCTTATTTTTGATGGAACGTTTATTTTTCTGCTATATGATCTATAGAAATAGATAGCTTTATTTGTGTTAGTGCTGAAGTAGATTCATCCATATATTTTTTTTTCAATATTTTGACATTTACTGAAATAATATTTTTACATTAGCTTGCCTGAATTTTTTTTTGATTTTATGTATTTTGCATGTGTCATGTATATTGGAGTGTGTGAAATGAAAGTTATTATCTTCAGTGAAGTTGTTTCTTTTTTTTTGGTAGATATCTTATTTTAATATTCAGTACTGCTACTCAAAATTTAAATTGTATTTCCAAAATAAAAGTATATTCCGGTGTAAATGAACTGTAGAAATAATAATTTTTTAATGTCATTCAAATACATACCAAAGAAAACATAAATTGCATTTTTTAGAGCCACAAGTAAAATAGAATATTAGTAATTGTTCTTTACACATCTACAATCTGAATGAAAGCATTAGTTCACGATTTTTTAGAGATCATGTTTGATATATTATATACTTATAATTGAAGAGCATATCTTTAAACTTCAATATCAACTTCCATATGGAATCAAAATTTATTTTTAGATTGTTGGGACATTGGAGAATTTGTATATATGTTGTAGACATAAAGTGGTCATGTATTTTGTGCAGATTAAAAGAAAAGGAAGTGCATGTAATTGAGTGGAGTTAAAAATTTTGAGTGTGATAAAAAACATATAAAATCAAAGGATTGTTGTGAATGGATGATTTTTATTGTTGATAGTCAATGTAGCTATTTGTAATTAGTTTAGAGATAAAAATGTAGTACATTGTTTAGTAACTAGTGGTAAATACATGTAGTTTTATCATTTTTGCAGGGTAGCTTTAACCTTTATTGTAAGTCTGTTTAAGTTATTCGAAGCAAAACTATATGCTAGGGTGTATCAGAGAATGTTTACACAAGAGGTAATGCTGTGAAAATCTGTGATCATATATTTGTTGCTGAACTTTAAACAGCTTATCATAGATTTTTCATAATTTTTATATTTATATGAGCTGTGTTTTTTAAAAATAGTTTCTCAAGTTTTATTTAATAGACATATTGTAGACATAACTTGAAACTGAAAATTACTTTAAAGACAGATGCCACAAAACATTATTCAAAAAACTATTTAAAAAAAAAAAGAAAAAAGAAGAAGCTATTTTTATATATGTAAAACGAATATCTGCATATATTTTAATTTTTCATTGAAATTTCTCAAAAATGCAGTAAAGGTGATTTAAAAATTTATAGAATTATAAGGGTAATTACACATCATAAAACGCTTACAATATAGTATTTTAGAAATTTGCTTTTTGCATCGTTTACAACCAAAATAAGTCCAAAATATAATACTAATCCAGGCATCTATTTTTTTTCTGTCTGTGTGACTTGATTTATTAAATCAACATCGTATTTGTTATTCACATTTTTTCTCAAGTTTACTTTAATTTCTGAATGGTGGATTTTGGGAAATCATATATTTGACTAATTAAAAATATTTATAATGACCACAATATGTATGATTTAGTGCCATATTCACTCAGTATGTGTAAAATAATAAGGTTGATGTGTTCTGGTGTAATTCTTCATGCATCTAAAATTTATACTGTATGCTAAAATTTTTGGGTAACTTTCCATTTAAAAGAGTTCACATATAAATACCAAATATATAATTTTTAGATTTAAATAATAATATTAATAATAATAGTAATAAAAGAAGACAAAACATGTTAAACTTCCCACCTTCGTTGTATAAAATGGAGTGTTTTGCTTCTTTAATTCGAAGTAGCATTTAAAGTAAACTTGGAAAAAAGCGTTAACCAGGATTTTTATTTTTATTCCAGCCACAGTGTATGTGTATCTTTTTTCATTGTTTATTTATTTTTGAATTATTTTGGTTTCCAATGGTTTAGATAAAAGGCTCAAGTGGAGTTTACCTATATTGGATGTATATTTCCTTGTTGTGATTATCCATGTGATATATTTGAAATCATTAGAAATATTTGTTTTTAATTTCCATAAACTTCTGTCATATAATGGGAGTCAATGGATGGTTTGTGTTTATTCCGCTTCGAAATAAAGCACATATTACCATTTTATTTGTGTGTGTGTGTGTGTGTGTTTGTTTTTTTTTTTTGTAATATGTCTTATGATATAATGAAACCCTGAGAGAGTTGAGGTAATGAATGCCTTGTCAATGGCACTGTTTCCACATATAGGACATTTACATTTTTGAATATACAAAGGGAAGGAAGAAGTGAGATTCAAGTCAAAGGAGATAAATAAGGAAGGTTTAGGCGCCGCAATTACGAGGGTTGTTCGAAAAGTTCGAGGACGATGTCAATCTTCGTTAAACTACTTTCAAGAAATTTAAAATAAGCACAATATTATGTGTAAAAATATTTGTTTTGTTGATGTTGTAAGTTTCATTTCATTCAATTTAATAGAAATCAATCTGCTTTATCTTAAAATCAACGTTTCGTAACCGCAGAGCATACTTATTAACGGCAATATAGTGTCAAATACATACATGTAGCGTCAAGAATTTCTTAAAAATACTAACCTTATACATAGTATAATTCAATAATCGCATATTAAAAACCCTTGTCTAGTACCAAACTTTTATTTTTCTAACAATCGTTCTGTGTGTATAATTTCATTTGTCAATGTTTTAATTCCTTTTACAACTTAAATGGGCTTTCACAAGATCAGCAATTTTCTATGAAGCGCCAATGACTTTCCATGACCTTTTCAATTTTTAAAAGTTTTTGATTAGAATTTTACCAGATAAACCATTTCTTCGCAGATTGTCCTCGTCCGATACAGAGTCTCTGTCACTCAAATACCTCCTCTACCATTTAAAAACACATGCACGAGTTACTTGTGACATAATTTTTTTTATTCCTCTAACATTTTTAGAGTTTATTCAGGATTTTTCCCCAGTATAACTCAAAATTGCATCGATATCTTCTGCTCTGTGACGTTCAACAACGTCATCATATTTGTCGCTTTAAATGAGGACTACATATCTTCCCAAATGGATTTCTTTTCCACGAAGCAAAATATTAAGCCATAGTTTGGAATATGTGACCGCGACTGGGAAAAAGGGTCCAGATGAGTAAAAAATCGAAATTAATTTTATTGTCTTTTTAAAATCAGGATACTTTGAATAACACAAATTCAAAATTTCGTGCAAATATCATTGAAAATAAAGAAGATACAGGCCAGGAATGCAGGCATCTTCAAGTCATATCATAACGTCAGTGACGTTACCATAACGTCGTAATTAGAAAACATAAACAATTTCAGTCTATTGGTATATTAAGAAATTCTCTTCTTTTTCTTTAAACTCTTCTTAAAATTTTGCTTAGATATGATGAAAATAAACTGAATCATTAAATATACTGTCATTCTTACTTATTACATATGACTGTTACTTGTTACATATGGCTATTGCCAGTATTGGAACAACTGAATTTGATTCAGAAGTCTGATGATTATCCTACCAGCATCGATGACCAAAGAGAGAAAGGGGAAAACATGCATAATATGCACAAAATAATCCAGTTTTATTTTCAATAAAATATATAGAAAATTCATGAGAAATGCACAATAATTATTATCAAGATAAATATGCAAATTGAAATTAC